CGTCCCAAGACGGCCCCAGAGGCGCCCCAAAGGAGCCCAAAACTGTCCAAGAGGGCCCCCAGACAAGCCCAAGACGGCCCAAGAGGCCCCAAAGATCGCCCCAAGACGGCCCCAGAGGCGCCCCAAAGGGGCCTAAAACGGCCCAAGAGGGCCCCAATACGGCCAAGAGGGCCCCGAGGGCCCTAAGAGAGCCCAAGAGGGCCCCAAGAGGAGGGGGAGGAGGGGGAGAAGGAGGAGGAGGAGGAGGAGGAGGAGGAGGGAGGAGGAGGGAGGAGAGGAGGAGGAGAGGAGGAGGAGGAGGAGGAGGAGAGGAGGAGGAGGAGAGGAGGAGGAGGAGGAGGGGGGGAGAGGAGGAGGAGGAGGAGGAGGAGGAGGAGGAGGAGGAGGAGGAGGAGGAGGAGGAGGAGGAGGAGGAGGAGGAGGAGGAGGAGGAGGGAGGAGAGGGAGGAGGAGGAGGAGGAGGGAGGAGGAGGAGGAAGGAGAGGAGGAGGAGGAGGAGGAGGAGGAGGAGGACGAGGACGAAGCCAAGGGAGCAGGAGGGAGGTAGAAGGAGGAGGGAGGAAGCGGAGGTGGAGGAGGAAGAGGAGAAGAGGTGGAGGAGGAGGAGGAGGAGGAGGAGGAGGAGAGGAAGAGGATGAGGATGAGGATGAGGAGGAACGAGGAGGAGGAACGAGGACGAGGCCAAGGGAGGAGGAGGAGGAGGAGGAGGAGGAGGACGCGGAGGAAGGGAGGTAGAAGGAGGAGGAGGAGGAGGAGGAGCAGGGAGGGGAGGAGGAGGAGAAGGAGGAGGAGGAGGAGCAGGAAGAGGAGAAGGGAAAGGAGGAGGAGGAGGAAGAGGATGGAGGAGGAGAAGAAAGAGGAGGAGGAGGAGCAGGAAGAGGAGGAGAAAAAGGAGGTGGAGGACAAGGACGAGGACGAGGGAAGAGGAGGAGGAGGAGGAGGAGGAGGAGGAGGACGATACGTAACAGGCTCCCAAGCGCGAAGGTGACGTAAAAGCTCATCACACCAAGACTCCCAAGAGCGAGCGGCAACGTAAACATTTCTGAACACCAGGGCTCCCGACAGAGAATGGTGACGTAACAAGGTTTTCCCACCAGGGCTTCCAAGAGCGAACGATGACGTGACAAGCTCGTGCACAACAAGGATCCCAAGAGCGAACGGTGACGTACACAACTCTCAACGCCAAGGTTCCCAAGAGCGAGCGGCAACGTAAAAGTCTCGGAACACCCAGGCTCCCAAGAGCGAGCGGTGACGTCACAAACTCTTACCACCAAGGCTCCCAAGAGAGAAGGGTGCCATGAGCCCTCTCGGGCAGGTTGCTGCAGCGCTCTGTCCGTTCCCGTGCCGGCCCAGGTGACGGAAAGAGCGAGGTATGAGTGACGTTGTGTTTTGGGCGAAGCCCTCTAGGGAGGGGTCCAGGGGAGGGGGGAGGGCCGGAAGGATGTGATCTAATGGCAGTTTTCTGGTTTTCTCTCGGGTTGTTCCCTACCTAGGCTCTGGCTAGAAGGGTTCTTACTCTCTGTCTTAAAGGGGAGGGCCGTGGACCCCGCCCCGGGCGGTTCCCCCGGCATCCGCCCCGCGGTTCCCCCAGTTACGTCCCCTGGGTTCACCCAGCTTAGCTTAGCTAAGCTTAGCTTAGCTTAGCTTGGCTTAGCTTATCTCATCTTAGCTTAGCTTAGCTTGGCTTAGCTTTGCCTAGCCGAGCTTAGTTTAGCTTAGCTTAGCTTAGCGTATATCATCTCAGCTTAGCTTAGCTTAGCTTGGCTTAGCTTAGCTGAACCTAGCCTAGCTTAGCTTAGCTTGGCATAGTTTAGCCTAGCGCAGCGCAGCATAGCGCAGCGCAGCATTAGCACAGCATAGCATAGCATAGCATAGCCAAGCATAGCGTAGCATATCATAGCACGGCTCAGCATAACATAGCATAGCATAGCATAGCATAGCGCAGCATAGCATGGCATATCATGGCATAGCATTGCTTAGCACAGCACAGCGCAGCATAGCATAACACAGCACACTACAGCATAGCATAGCATGGCATAGCGCAGCATAGCATAGCATAGCATAGCGTAGCACAACATAACATAACGCAGCATAACATATCATAGCATAGCCTAACATAGCATAGCATAGCGCAGCATAGCATAGCATAGCATGGCATATGGCAGCATAACATAGCATAGCATATCATAGCATAGCGCAGCATAGCAAACGCAAATCCAAAAGCGAAGCAACAGCAACAGCACAAGCAAAAGCAAAGGCAAAGGCAAACGCAAAGGCAAGAGCAAACGCAACGGCACTGCAAAGCAACAACAAAACCAATGCGAAAGTGTAGATGTAGATGTAGGTGTAGGTGAAGATATCGATGTAGGTGTATATGTAGATGTAGATGTAGATGTAGATGTAGATGTAGATGTAGGTGTAGGTGTAGGTGTAGATGTAGGTGTATATGTAAATGTAGATGTGAGTATCGCTGTCGATGTTGATGTAGATGTAAATGAAGGTGTAGATGTAAATGTAGCTGTCGGTGTATATGTAGATGATGCTTTCCTACATGGTCCAACTCCTAGGTAGGGTCGCACTGGGATAATTGTATGGTTTTCGGGTTCTCCCCTTTTCCGTCCCAGAAGAGCCCAAGACCGCCCAAAACAGCCCCAAGACGTCCCACGAGGCTTCCAAGACGCCCCAAGAGGCGCCCAGGAGGCGTCCCAAGAGGGCTCCAGGAGGCCAAAGTCATTGATGTCCTATAGGAAGACGTACATGTTTAGCATACACGGCTTTTCGGCTTTCACGGCGTTGAAGACGGCCCAAGAGGCCCCCAAGACCGCCCCAAGACGGCCCAAGAGGCCCCCAAAACGGCCCAAGAGGGCCCCAAGACGGCCCAAGAGGCGCCCAAGACGGCCCAAGAGGGCCCCAAGAGGGGGACCACGAACCGAAAAGTCTAGCCTTTCGCCCCAAGACGCTCCCAGGAGACCCCAAGAGACCCCCAAGAAGCCCCAAGAGGCCCCCAAGAGGCGTCCCAAGAGGCCACCAGGAGGCCAAAATCATTGATTTCCCTTGGGAAAACGTGCATTTTTAGCATACACGGTTTTTCAGCTTTCACGGCGTTGACGACGGTCCAAGAGGCCCCCAAGACAGCCCCAAGACGGCCCAAGAGGCCCCCTAAACGGCCCAAGAGGGCCCCACGACGGCCCAAGAGGCCCCCAAAACGGCCCAAGAGGGCCCCAAGACGGCCCAAGAGGGCCCCAAGACGGCCCCAAGAGGGGGACGACGAACCGAAAAGTCTAGCCTTTCGCCCCAAGAAGCTCCCAGGAGCCCCCAAGAGCCCCCCAAGAAGCCCCAAGAGGCCCCCAAGAGGACCCCAAAAGGAACCCAAAAGGGCCGCAATAGGACTCCCAAGAAGGCCCAGAGACGTCAAGTAAAGAGCGATCGGTAACGCAAAAAGCTCTTCATACCAAGGCTCCCAAGAGCGAACGGTGACGTAAACAAGCTGATAAGACCAAGGCTCCCAGCAGAGAGCGGTGACGTAACAAGTTCCTGACACCAAGGCCCAGCCAAGGATCAGGAACGGGCGGCAACGCAGCAATCTCTCAACACCAAGGCTACCAAGAGCGAGGGGTGACGTAACAAGCTCTCAACGCCAAGGTTCCCAGTACGAACCGTGGTGTGAGTAATTTCGGTCAAGATTCTGAAGCGCTCGTTCCGTTTCTGTGCCGGGCCAGGTAACGGAAAGAGCGTTGTTCTAGTGGCCTTTCGGCCCATCCCGCCATCGCGCTTTTGATGTAGGCCAGAGGCCTCTTGGATGCCTGTGGGGATCTCTTGGGAGGCCTCTCGGAAGTCTCTTAGGGCGGGTTCTGGAGTGTCTTTAGGACCTCTCTGGGGCACATTGGGGGCCTCTTGGGGGCTGAGTTTGGCTCTCGGGGGGCCTGCGGGAGCTTCTAGAGCGCTTGTTGAGGCCTGCGGTCTCGGAGGTCGTCTTCGGGCGGAGGGCTCGACATGTGGATTCGTGCTCCCCTCTGCGGCCTCCGTCTGGGCCCCTCCTGGGGCTCTCTTGGACTGTCTTGGATGCATCTTAGGCCGTCTTGGGGCTCGTCGGAGCTGTCTTCGGACCCTCTTGGGGGCCTCTCGGGCTATCTTGGGGCTATATTGGAGATCTCCTGGCCGTCTTTGACGCTGTGAAAGCCGAAGAGGCGAACATACTGAAAATAGACGTTTCCCGAAGAGAATGCGGCGATGTCTGCTTCTTGGGATTCTCTTGGGGTACTCTTGGGGCCTTCTTGGAGCGTCTCATGGGCTCCTTGGGCCGTCTTGGATTCTCATTGGGACGTCTAGAAGCTGCTTGTGACCGCTCTGGGGTTCTCTTTGGCTATCTGAGGCGTTTCTGGAGACACTCGAGGATTCGTGAGGTCGTCTTAGGCCAGCTGATCACATTCTGGGAGCTCCCGGAAGTTTTCAGGAGCTCCTGGAAGCTCACAGGAGCTCCTGGAAGCTCATCGGAGCTCTTGGAAGCTCCTGGCAGCAGCTGGGAAACTGTGGGCCCAGGCCCCTAATAACCTTTCAGTCCCTCTACCTCTCAAGGCTGCAGAGCCGCATGAGCCGTGGGGCACTCCGCTACGTGCTGAAGGCACGGTGGCGGGCCAAGCGAAGGCCCCACTTTGACCAGGAGCCGCCCTCTCCACTCCCGTGCAGTCAGGGCGCAGGTGCTCACATCGAGTGCTTGCGGCGTTGCCAGGAGACTCCCGGGATGGCCAATGCATGCCCTGGGCGGTCCAACATGGCGCCCGAGTCTCTTCCGCGCGCCTCCAAGACGGCCCAGAACTTGGCGGCGCGCAGAGGGGAATAGGGGGAGGGGGGAAGGCTTCTTAGAAGCACCCCTGCTTCTTAGAAGGCGCGGGCCTTCTCTGTAGATGTGAGGCCAGCGCCTTCTAAGAAGCAGCCTCCTTCTAAGAAGCCTTCCCCCCTCCCCCTACCCCCCTCTGCTCGCCGCCAAAGAACGCGTCCGTAGCCATTCTGGTTCAAATTGTTCTGGCTCGGGCCAGTTTCGGGTGCCAGCTCAGGCAGCAGGTGCCGGGAGCACACTCCTCGGCCCCGCGGCCCACGCCTCTGCTGCGTGACAGGGTCCCGCACGCCATGCTGGCGCACTGCTCGATGTCAGCGCTGTCAGACAAGATTTCGTCGGTGCGGAGCGTCGAGCTGGGCCCCCACTTGCGGATGGTCGTGCTCCTTCTCGCGATGGTTGCAGTCGAGGTGGCGTCGAGCTGCGCCCAGCCGGGCAGGACGCACAGCCCTCTCACGCTCGTGGCGCTGCTCGTGCCGACGTACTGCATCGGGTTCGCCCAGGCCAGCCGGCCCGCCGCCAGCCAGGGCGCGCGATGAGGGACTGGAGGCCCCGAAATGGCCCGCGTAGCTCGCGATCTCCGCCCTTCTGCCCTCGACTACGCGCAAGAGTGGCCCTTCGCCAGAGTGGCCTCTGGTGCGGGCTCAGCGGGGCCCCCCGATCACTGAGCGCGATGCGGTAGCAGCTGCTTGCGAGCTTGGATTTGGCCACCTTGCGCCCTCCAAAACCAGCGCACCAAAGGTCGCTCTTACCCAGGGTCAAATCTTGCGTGTAGCCGATGCCACCCTCCCTTCCTCTGCCTCCGCACCCTCGCCCTCCCACAGCCGCTTGCCGCCCTCGGAGCGTGCCTCGGCCCGCCCGCGGTGCACCACAGAGAGCCCACATGGGCCAGGAATCTCCAGGCCTCCCAGATGGGGTCCGAGTCGCTGGGGTCGAAGGATTGCGCCACATCGCCGAGGCGGCGCGATGTGGAGCCCGATTTGCTTCACCCAGACATCGCGACTGCATCGCCGATGCCGCCGGTGCATCGCCAATGCGCTGGCGATGCGTCGGGGGTGCGGCGCAGTCCTGCGACCCCATGGGGGGCGTTCCCAAAAAATAGGCCTGGCCTTCGAGGACCGAAGGGGTTGCCATCTCTTCCGCGGCGGAAGGTCGGCGGGAGTAAAGCGCGGCCGCCTCCGCCGGAGGAAGCTCGGCGGCAGGCGGCGGAAGGGAAGGATGTGCCCCCAAGAGGTGAAAACGTTTTCGGGTTCGGGGTTTCCGAGATCGTCCGTGTGTTCGGAGGCCTCTTCGGGAGGCCTCTAGAGTTAGGTCGGGCCTGTCCCCTACAGAGGGATTTTCAACGAAAAATGCCAAAATACCCCCGAAATATCTTAAATAAATAGTCCAAAAATAGTTTGGGGATTATGTTTTGCGTTTTTTTTTTAACCTTTTTGGGGCATTTTGGGGGTATTGCTTAATTTTTCGTCGAAAATCCCCCTGTAGGGGGACACGCCCGACATAACTCTAGAGTCGTGGATCCTGGCCGATGGCTCCGACGCTGGGCGGGACTGCCCGGGGCCCGTTCGGCACGAGATCTGAGCTGGGGGGGGTGGTGCCCGGCACCGCGGCGCAGGGCTGCCCCCCGTCGGCCAAGGAGTGCAGCAGGGCACGTTGAGGGGACCAACCCGATTGGAGGAGGAGGAGGACGAGGAGGAGGAGGAGGAGGAGGAGGAGGACGAGGAGGAGGAGGAGGACGAGGAGGATCAGGAGGACGAGGAGGAGGAGGAGGAGGACGAGGAGGATCGGGAGGACGAGGAGGAGGAGGAGGAGGAAGAGGAGGAGGAGCGACCTTGGCCGTCTTGCGCGAGCGTGGGTCCTTCTCCTCCTCAACCTCGGAGTCCGTCGTCGCCGCCGCCGTCGTTGTCGTCGTCACCGCTGCCGTCGTCGCCGTCGTCCTCGCCGCCGCTGTCGTCGTCGTCGCCGCCGCCGCCGTCATCGTCGTCGTCGCCGCCGCCGTCGTTGTCGTCGCGGCCGCCGTCCTCGTCGTCGTCGTCCTCGTGCTCGTCCTCGTCGTCCTGGTTGTCGTCGTCGTCGTCGGCAATGGTCGACGACCCATCCATCCAGGATCGACGTTCGTGGACATTTTTGCCCGCGCTGTGCCCCCGGGTGCCATCCCTGGGCCCCGGGACCCACCGAAACGGATGCGGGGCGAATAACGGCGCTGGACAGACCCCGGAAGAGCTCCGGGGACCCATGCCGAGCGGGTTTCGATGTTTGGGGTCGTCAGCGCCGCCGTCGTCGCCGCCCTCGCCGTCGTCCCCGTCGTCATCGTCGTCGTCGTCGTCGTGGTCGTGGTCGAGGTCGTGGTCGAGGTCGTGGTCGAGGTCGTGGTCGCGGTCCACGTCGAGGAGTCGTCCTCCCCCCGAGATTCCCTTCTGTCTCACATGCGCCAGAACCGCGACGGGCAACACACATACAAATACATACATGCATTCATACATACATACATGCACACGTACATACAGACATACATACATGCATTCATACATACATGCGCAGTTCTAAATATGTACATAAAAACAAATATGCACATCTGTGTGTATATACATGTATATACATATATATTTATATATATATATATATGTATACATGTGTATATATGCATGTAAAATAGTATAATATAAACGAATACGCCCATCCCCGGGAGCGTCCCACACCTCCAAAACATCTAGGCGCAATTCCCGGTTTCGCGCCCCAGGGCGTCCCAAGGAACCCCCAAAGCGTTCCAGGACGGCCCAAGACGCCCCCGAGGAGCTCCCAGAACGTGAAAGGACGGCCCAAGACGCTCCCAAGCAGCCCAAGACAGACTTCCCACGGCTTTCCAGGGTCCCAGGAGGCCTCCAAGAGGCTCCAGGAAAACTCCGAGAAGGCGCCCGGGGAGCGCCCGAAGACGCCCAACTCGTTGATTCGAATTTGGTTTTTACGGTTTTTAGCCCTCTCGCTCCAAGACCGCCGAAAAGACCCTCCAGACCGCCCCACAGCCGCCCAAGAGCCCCCAAGACGGCTCCAGGACGGGCCAAGAGTACCCCAAGACGGCCCAAGAGCGCCCCGAGGCAGCCCAAGAGAGCCCCAAGATGGCCCGAAAAGCCGCCCAACGGGGGGAATGCAAATCGACAATCCCGGCTTTCCGCTCCAAGAGGTCCCCAGGAGGCCCCAAGAGTCCCCCAATGAGCTTGAAGAGGCCTCCAAGAGCCCCGAAGAGGCTCAAGAACCCGTTTATTCTTGCTTGGGGCATGACGGGCGTCATGCGTCATGGCCCCCGCTCCCCCCCCCCTATGACGTAACGCTCCCCCCCCCAGTGCGCTCCGGGCACTGCCGCCGTGCGCATTGGGATCCGCGTATGTGTCCGCGTAGGAATCCGCATAGGAGTCTGGTCAGCCGTCGTCGTCGTCGTCGTCGTCGTCGTCGTCGCGCGTGGCTCGTGGCTCGTCGCTCGTCGCTCGTCGCTCATCGTCGTCGTGCGCGCGGACGCGGTTGGAGCCTTTTTTTTATTCTGGGCCGATGACGGCAATCATCTTGGGGGGGGTGGAAGGGGGTCGATGAAATCACGTTTCGCGCCGGCGGCGTCTGGGAATGCTTAGGAATGGCGGAGGACGGGTAGCACCAGCATATAGGTGGCGATCTGCGCCACAACGCCTGTGTACATTGCAGTGCCTGCGTGCACCACAGCGCCTGTTTACACCACACCGCCAATGTACACCACAGCAGCCGCGTGCAACACAGCGTCAGTTTGTGCCACCGTGCTTGCGGGCACAAGAGCTCTTGTGTACACCACAGCGCCTGCGTACACCACATCAGCTGTGCGCAACATAGCACCAGTGTACACCACAATGGCCGCGTGCATTGCAGTGTCCGTGTACACCACAGCGCCTGTGTGCACCACAGCAACCGAGTGCAACACGGCACCACTGTTGTGTATATATATATATAGATAAGTTTAGAAGGATTCCTTATGACAACATGGAATGCTTGTGGATTCCACAGAAAACAACGGCAAGGAATCCTTATGGGCGAAGGAGCGTCCCTGGAATCTACAAGTCCTCCCGACTCCGCCCGCACCACCTTGACTCTTTCCATCTGCGTCCAGGAGGCTCCAGCTAAATTGGCCGTCCGAAAACCAAATGGACTGGTTCAATCGACCATTCTGCGGTGCACGCTGAGATGCGCACGTGCGCTGTAGCGCCAACCAGCACACAGGGGGTAAGGAGGAGGAGGACGAGGAGGAGGAGGTGGAGGAGGAGGGAGGAGGGAAGAACGTCGCATTCGATTACGTGGAAATGGAGGTGGAGGTTGAGGAGGAGGAGGAGGAGGTGGAGGAGGTGGCGGAGGAGGTGGAGGAGGAGGAGGACGACGAGGAGGAGGAGGAGAAGGGGGAGGAGGAGGAGGAGGAGGAAGAGGAGGAGGAGGAGGAGGAGGAGGAGGAGGAGGAGAAGGCGGAGGAGGAGGAGGAGGAGGAAGAGGAGGAGGAGGAAGTGGAGGTGGACGTGGAAGTGGAGGAGGAGGGAGGAGGGAAGAAGGTCGCATTCTATTTTCAGCATTTCCCGGGCGTGGCGATTAGTTGTCCGCAGCAGATCCTCACAGACATGCTCCTTCTACCTGTCCAATGCACGCAGGCACTGTGGTGTAGACAGGCGCTGTGGCGTGCACAGGCGCTGCGGTGCACGCAAGCATTGTGGTGCACACAGGCGCTGTGTTGCGCATGGTTGCTGCGGTGTACACGTGTACGCCGGCGCTGTAGTGTACGCAAGCAGGCACTGTGGTGTACACGCGCGCTGTGGTGCACGCGAGCGTAGTGGTGTCGCTCCAAGATCCTTGCGACGTGCCATAACCAGCCCAAGACGGTCACAACCCTCTTCCGATTGCGAGTCGCCCAGAGTCCCCGACCTTCGTTTCATTACAGCGCCATGGGATGGACTAGAACCTACGCGCGCGCGAAGCGCGCGCGGTTACTTACACATATATATATATATACATACATACATATACATACATATACAAATACATATACATATACATATACATACGCATATACATATACATATACATATACATAAACATATACATATACTTATACATATACCTATACATCTACATATACATATACATATACATATACATATACATATACACACATTCACACATATATCGGCAATCTTGTGGGAACCATACTTAAACCGAGCGTGGCTCGAGCGTGCGCGTTGGTCAGGCATCAGGAGCAGTGGTGTTGCCACTCCGGCTGACCAGCCGCGCCCGCTGCCTCCCATCTCTCCCCCTCTGCTGCCGTCGCGGATGCCAGGGCGGCGGCCATTGATATTTCTGCCCCACTATCGCAGTGTATCTGCAGTGGGTATCGGGTTCCCCGAGTTTGGTCCGAGCGCGGCCCAGGCGTGTGCATTGGTCAAAGCACCGCAGAAGTGGCGGCGCTGCCATTCCAGGTGACCAGCCTCGCCCGCCGTCTCGGATCTCCCCCTCTCCCTGTGCCGATGCCATAGGGCAGTTTGGCATTGTCCCTTGGCGATATTGGCGTGACCGAGGGGGGAGGAGGCGGGGGGGGGGCGGTCACGTCACGATTCGCGCCGGTGCCGTCTGGAAATGTTTTGCGATGGCTAATTCCTACACGGCGCCAGCGAATCGTGACGTGACCAGGGGGGGAGGGATGTTGGGGGCGGGGCCTGTCACGGGCGTCATCGCGAGCAACCAAAAACGGACTCCATCAAAACGACCATGGCCAGTTCATCGGTACCCCACATTACATGCAAACTTGATTTATAATGGGCATCATGTTTAGTCCCAGCGTGGCTGGGGCGTCTGCACACGCATATACATATACATATACACATATGTATAAGTTATATAAGTGTACGTATATGTGTATGTGTATGCATGTGTACAAGTGTGTGTACATGTATACGCATGTATACATGGTTATGTACACCTATGTGTATGTGTATTTGAATGTGAATGCGTATATATACATGCATATACACTTGCATATGTAAGTGTATATGTATATGTCGATGTAGATGTAGATGTAGCTGTAGCTGTAGATGTAGATGTCTATGCATGTGTATCTAAACATCGTTAGTTAGTTGTTTGTGTGACTATGTATGTGTTGGTTTGGCAATGCTTTTGTAGTCATGTGCGTTTCCATGTATTATTGGAGGTATGTATGTTTGAAGTTGTGCAGTCATGTATGGATTCACATGGTTATGCTTTGAGTGATATACGTATTGAGTCGTTTGTTTATAAGTTTGTTCATGCAGTGGTGCATTTGCTGAATTATTCATGGGTTTCTGTTGTAGGTATGTGTTATTCAAGCTTGTGCTTGTGTATGTCTATATGTATGAGTTGTTATGTATGCATGCATGAATGAATGTATGCATGCATGCACGCATGTATGGCATGTCTGTATGTATGTGTGGAGTGTATTGTCTCGCATTGCATTGCACTGCATTATATTTCATTGGATGGTGTGGTAGTGTACTGTATTGTAGTGTATGTATATATGCATGCATGCATGCATGTCTGTATACACGTATGCATGTATGCATCTCTCGATAAAGATGTGTAAATGCGTATATATACACATCTCTACATTTACATATATGTATATACAGGCCCGCGGCCCCCGAACATGTGCCCCGACTCTCCATAGGGGGGACCAGGGGGCTCCGTGGGCCCTGCCGGGGCGCCGGGGGCACCTTAAGACTGCCCGAACACGGCCCCCGGATCGCCAAAAATGGCGCTTCCAGACCGCGAGAACGACTAATGACGGCCAGAGATCACCCCAGAGTTGGCCCCTGACTATCCAAGAGGCAACAAAGACGCCCCAAGAAACCTCCAAGATGCCCCCAATGAGCCCCGGGAGGCAAAGATCATTGATTACCCGAAGGTTTTGGAGGGGTTTCAAGCTCTCGCCTTTTCAGTTTCCCGACGCTCCGCGACAGCCCAAGAGGTCCCATTGCTTGCTCCAAGACAGCCCCAGAGGCTTCGAAGACGGCCCCAAGACGGCCGAAGAGGGCCCCAAGCTGGCGCCAGAGGCGCCCCAGACGGCCCGAGAGGGCACCAAGACGGCCCCAAGGGGGGGCCAAGAGGGGTAACACGAACCGAGAATCCGAGCCTTCCACCACGAGAGGCTCTCAGGAGGCCCCTAGAGGCCCCCTCGAGAGGCCCCCATTAAGCTCCCCAGAGGGCCCAAGAGGCTCCAAGAGGCCTCCCACGACGGCCCCAAGAGGCAGAATCACTGATTTCCCCTAAGTTTTTGACGGATTTGTGAGTTTTCAGCCTTTGCGCATCCCGCTCCAAGACGGCCCAAGAGGCCTCTAAGGCCGCTAAAAGATACCCGAAGAGGCTTCCAAGAAGGCCCCAAGACAGCCCTCGAGGGCCCCAAGGCGGCTGCCAAGGTGCTCCCAGGAAGCAGAAAAATCGCTCTCACATGCTGCGATCCATCCCCAGGAGGCCTGCAACAACCTCAAGACGCTCCAAGATGGTTTCCTGGCGGCCTGGAGCGCCCCCAAGACGCTCCAAAGGGTTTCAAGAGGTTTCCCGAGAGCGCCCCAAGAGGCACATATCATCGATGTTTGTTGTGTTGTTGTATGTTTTTGTTGCAGCTCTCGCCTTGTCAGACTCCGAATGTCTCAGACGGCCCAAGGAACCCCCGCGAGCGACTCAAAAGAGCCCGAGAGGCGCCCAAGACGTTCCCAGCGCCAAGGCAGCCGAAAGGCGGCTCCAACACAGCTCAAGAGGCGTTCTAAAGGGCTCCAAGACCTGCCCAAAGCGGGAGCCCAGAGAGGCAATTTTACCGACAGTTCGAGCTCTCCACCCCGAGAGGCCCCCAAGACGCCCGGCCCCAAGAGACCACCAAGAGGCTTGAAAATTGCCTCCACGAGGCGACCCCAAAAGACCTTTCCTGGAGGCCCCCTTGGAGGCTCCAACCCACCGCGCCAGAGGCCCCCAAAAAGGCCCAAGGAGTTTCCCCAGTGACATCCAATCACCCCTAGGCGGTCCCCCAAAAAATCCCTAGACGGCTGCCCAGAGTCGGGGAACGACCCCGAAGCCCCACGACGACGGTGACGACGACGACGATTCCGACAACGAGGACGAGGGCGACGGCGGCGGCGGCGACGACGACGACGACAACGACAGCGGCGGCGGCGACGACGACGGCGACGAAGGCCACGACGAACGGCTACCCCAGCATCCTTGCCTCTTCAAACATCTTTCACCCAGTGACAGTACTTCTGAAAGTCTGTGGTGATCGGATAGTACAGACCCCGGCAACAGCCGCACCGATGGCTACGGGGTCCACCGCCCGCACACGCACAAGTATTCCCCGCTCCTCCCGCCCACCCCTCCCCTTATTCATCGTGGTCGCCGCCCCTCCGCCTTTGAGGTGATAGTGTGCCCAGGAGGTTCAGACCCTGGAGGATTCCTGATCTGATGAGGGCGGCGGTGATGTCCATGGCCAAGGATCAGTTCGTGCCCCAAGTTTTCAGAACCCTGATTCCTTATCCAACGATTTCTTATCCACTGCCCTCATCGTAGCTTGGGCGGTCGGGTGAGCTCCTAGCAAGCTCCTGCAATGCCGCTCACGCACAGGGCGGCAAATGTCTTCATCGCTGCAGTGGCGCATTCCGACCCTTGCCTAAGCTGCATTGAATTCACGAGAGGAGGAGGAGCAGGAGGAGGAGGATGCGGTGGTGGAGGCGGAGGAGGTGATTGATGATGATGATGATGATGATGATGATGATGATGATGATGATGATGATGATGATGATGATGATGATGCTGATGCTGATGCTGATGTTGATGCTGATGGTGATGCTGATGCTGATGATGATGATGATGATGATGATGATGGTGATGGTGATGGTGATGGTGATTATGATGATAATTGATGATGCTGATGAGAATGACGATGGTGATGATGATGACACTGATGATGATTATGGTGATTATGATGATGATGACAACGACCATGATGGTGATGATGATGGTGATGATGATGATGATGATGATGATGATGATGATGATGAGGAGGAGGAGGAGGAGGAGGAGGAGGAGGATGATAATGATGAGGTGGTGGAGGAGGTGGAGTAAGAAGATGAAACACACATCTCGACGAATTGCGACCGTGCCTAAATGGCATGACTTGCGCGTGTGCTGCCAAAAACGTTTGAAAGACATCTGCATCGCGTGCCCGGCCCAGCCTCCCTCCTGCAGCTTCAGGAGGCCGGCGCTCCCAGGCCAGACGATGCCGTGCGCGGGCGGCAACTCTGCGCCTCTGTGGTCCAGGAGTGCACCCATTGTGCCACTGCTCACCTCAGCCTCCAGTTCCCTCTCGTCCTCCCTCCCATGCACCTGTGAGCAGCGACTGGCTGCCCTCCAGGAGCGAGCTCGGCTCCGCGAGGAGAGGACCCGAGAATCTCGGCACTTCCCGCAGGTTCCTTCGCAGGTTTCCCAGGACCCGCCGTGTGAGTGGCGGGCCATTCGGCTCACCCAGTGTGCGATTTGCGGTAGGGTGAACGGATCCTCCTCGCGTGGTCCTCCTCCTCTTCCTCCTCCTCCTCCGCCTCCTCCTCCCCCTCCTCCTCCAGTAATGCTTACATGTTTAATCCTGTGTGTGACCCCTCCTCGGACAATCTCGCAGGAAGGGGGCACAGAGCTCTGATTATGACATACTCCGCTTGTGTCAGTGTAGCTGCTACTCGTCTCATGGACGGGTGTGAAGATCCGGGGGTGAGCCCGAGGGGTCCACGAAGTCCGCCACGTACATCAACTGGGGGCCGACTTGGAAGGGCCGCCACCCCACGCGCCCCGAGACCGTGGAACGGGGCCCGTGGGCCCCCCATCCTGGCCAATACTCGGACGTCTTCTCTTCTTGCTGCCCTGAGCCCTCAGGCGAGCAGCTGCGCCTCCTCCCGCTCTTCGCGGGGCGCGCCACTCCTGGGCGGCGGAGGTGGCAGAGGGTGTGAAGGAAGCCTCGAGCGCCGCCCCAGTGGAGCGCGTGGCCCACGGCAGCGCGGCGGACATCCGAGGAGGGCGAGGGCCCCCATCCTTCCTGCCGTCGGCGTCAGGGCACACCCTCTTCCACCTCGCGGCGAGGGAAAGCGCGCGCGCGCGCCGGTGCCGATCGGACGGCGGCGGCCTCGCCCGGAGATCGTTCCCGGCGCGTCGCAGACGCCAAGGCCTCCGATGCGAGGCTTTGGGGGCATGGCCCCAGATTGCCATCGAGGCGTCGATGATGCGGCTCTCCGCGATGCAGCTGCTCCTCCTCGTGCCTCGTCCTCCTCCCTCCCCCCTCCCCCTCCTCCTCCTCTTCCTCCTCCTCCTCCTCCTCCTCATCCTCCTCCTCCTCCTCCTCCTCCTCCTCCTCCTCCTCCCGTAGCCGTTTTGGCTCAAGGCGGAGCTCACTTCCCGTCCCCACTCCAGAAGCTCGAGGCCGAGGTGGAAGGACAGCCCCTTCCTCAGGCCTGGTTGTCTCGATCAGCTCACTGTGAGCCACTGGGGGAGCTACATCCGTTCCGCTCCTGGTTTGGGGCAGCCTATCCGTCTCTGCGGTGTTCATAGGCGGCAATGGAAAGCGGGGTGAGCAAGCTGGGAACCAGAAGCAGCAGTATTGTCGAGCATATGGGTACACACTGAGCTGGGAGAAGAGCACCACTTGCAATGAATGCTCTAAGCCTCTGCAGCCAGCGCGCTCTCAGGAGCGCCCGCCTGCGGGGTAATGGGGCCCACGGGGGAGCAGCGAGGGACGCTGCAGCCACCCGTGCCGCGGTGATGCGCCGACCCGAACGGAGCTCGTGCAGCAGCGCGGGGGATCCTCCTTGCGGACGCAGCACAACGAGGTGCACGGGCGGGGGGGTCGACCAGCTGGACCTCGCCATCGCGCCCCCAGCGCCGCCCGAGCACACCGACGTGGCGCTCAACCAGGCGCGCGCACGGGCGCGGCGCGCAGAGGCGGCGCTCAAGAAGGCCAGCTGGGCGGTGGCTGACGCCGAGGAATGGGTGGAGCGCCAGCAGCGGAAGGAGGAGGCCATCGTCGAGGTGGCCGAGGCTGGCATCGAGGTTGCGGCGGCCTGCGAAAGGGCAGTCCCTGACAAGAAGGAAGGTGGCGCCGTTGCAACGCCCGCGCCAAGCCACGCCAGGGCGCGGCCATCGACCTCTCCGAGTTACTCAAGGACTGCGCCGTGGTGCTGGACGTCCAAGCGGGCGACATGTTCGACCTGGAGGGGCCCGAGATGTCGGATGGAGAGAAGAAGCAGTTCCAGGATCAGGTCACCACCTTTGCCCGCCAGCTGCAGAGACGGAGCTCCAGAGGCGCTCTGGCCCCACCGCGGAGGCCATGCGGAGCACGCGCAGCGACCTCAAGAACATGCACGACCGCCCCAGGGCCAAGCGCCCCCGCCCCATCGCGCCCGAGGCCGCGAGGTCCGTCGGCGCCGCGGAGGACACGGCCAAGGCCAGCGGGCGAGGAGGCAGGGCAGGCGCAGCTCCGACCCACGCCAGCAGGCCGTCGCGGCCCGCAGCCCCAGGCCGGGCCCGGCCATGGCCCGCCCGTGCCAGGCGCAGGCGGCCCCCCCGTCGCAGGCGGCGTGCCAGGGGCCCCAGCAACCCCCCACACCGTGGCAGCCAGAGCCAGGATCCGGAGGCGGAGGAGGAGGAGGAGGAGGAGGAGGAGGAGGAGGAGGGGCTGGCAGAGGCCCCAGAGGCCTCGCCAGTCAAGGCCTGGCCCGCCGCGGGTCCCGATGGGCCCTGGCCCTGCCTGGCAATCAAATCTCTCCTCTTCCCACGCGCAGCGCGGAGCTCGTCGCGTCCGCGGCTCACAGAGGCGCGGCCGACCTCGCAGAGTGGCACCCGCGACTCCGGCGGCCCGCGGCCAGGAGAGTTTGGCGGCGAGCAGAAGGGGGTAGGGGGAGGGGGAAGGCTTCTTAGAAGGAGGCTGCTTCTTAGAAGGCGCCGGCCTGACATCTACAGAGAAGGCCCGCACCTTCGAAGAAGCAGGGGTGCTTCTAAGAAGCCTTCCCCCCTCCCCCATACCCCCCTCTGCGCGCCGCCAAAGAGTAGGGCGCCGCTGACATGCCCAACGTCGACCAGGGCCGCCAGCTCGAGGGGGGTCAAGACCGGACGAGCCCGAGAGGCTGCCCGTCAGCCCTGAGGGCGATGGCTTCCACCGTGGGAGCGTGCCTCGGCGCCTCTGTGCCGGCGGCAACTCCCGAGCTCGAGAGAGGCGCCAGGACCGGCCAGGGCGAGGATTCCGAGACGCAGAGGAGCACACAGTGTTCATTTCTGATTATTCGAAGGTTCTTTGATGTTTCTGGGGGGCCAAGATCCTTTCTTTTCTAAGTGCTCTATCCTGGGCCTCTTCCTGGCCATTGGGGGGCCAGGAGCAATTAGAAACGAGCACAATTCGAAAAGAGCACGATTGGAAATGAACGACGTGTACGGTGCTCGGGCGGACGTTGGAGAGGGGGCCGAGGATCTTCACGGGCCACAGGGGGGGGGGGGGGCGAGCATGTGATTCCAGCTCCATTGCGAGAGGGGAGGCGTTGGGGCCCTCGCTCCACAGCGTGGGCCAGTTTGGGCTCTGCGATCGGTGTGGCGCGTTTACGAGCGAGAGGAGGT